CTATGCTCCTTTTTATATAGTTTGCAGCTCTGATTTTGTCCTGTCAGCCCTCTCCCCGCTCCTAATTCTGTTCATATTCATATTATCTCTCCCACAAAAGGACAGAGAAAACAAGATTCATCTACTTGTAATTAAAGCTATCTCACATAAAGATTTCTCATATAAAGAAATAGCCATATCAAGCTCTGGGCTTGATAGAACTTGGTTCACAGCAGATGCAAGCTGCTTCTCAAGGAAAATTCTGGCCCTGCGTGCAGGAAGCCCTGTAGGTCCCCTTCCCAGCAAGAAGGCCAGGCTGTACCTGCATGCCTGGCTTTGAAGACACAGCTGTTTCTTTAGTCAGCAGCACAGAACCTGTATTCAAGCTTTTTTGGCCTTGGGCTGAATGTGGACCAGCTCCTGTCAAATACCTATCTGGGCGAATTAATATCTGGGAAGCCAGGCTGTAGACTTGCTCTGGTCAGTAATGACCTTCTTACTAATCCAAGGTAATATACAAACTATCAAGACAATGTAGCAAGTTTTTCATATAAACCTGTTCCCATCAAGTTGATTCCGACTCAGAAGTGCCCCAGAGGGCTTCCAAGGAGTGGCTGGTGGATTTGAACTGCTGACTTTCTGGTTAGCAGCTGTAGCCTTAACCAGTGTGCCACCAGGGCTCTGTTTTTCATATAGCTAAATATATTCCTTATACAGGACTCTGAGATTCTTTGGTCTTAAAACCAGTCAAACCAGTTGCTGTCCAGTTGATTTTGACTTATTGCAGCCCCATGTGTGTCAGAGATGAAGTGTGCTCCATAAGGTTCTCAGTGGCTGATTTTTCTGAAGTAGATATCTGGGCCTTTCTTCTGAGGCACCTCTGGGTGGACTCAAACCTCTAATTTTTTGGTTAGCAGCTGAGAGCTTTAACTGTTTGCACCTCTTGGGACTACAATTTTTGGTGTTAGAGGTCCTCTTGTTAAAGCGACTGGACGGCTATTTTGTTTTTAATGTTCTTGTCAAAAAAAGTTGGCAACTTTATGTTGGTCCCACCCATTTTGGGGGAGAGTTTTGCTGCTCCATGAAACACTTGGATCTAGGAACCACTGGTCTAAGAGCCTGGTATGCGACTATCCTCTTGAGCAGAGTTTCTCAGACTTGGCACTACTAATGTTTTGGGCTGGATAATTCTTTTGTTGTGGCGCTGTTTTGTGCACTGTAGGATGTTTAGTAGCATCCCTGACCTCTAGCACACAACTCCATCTTCCAGTTGGACAACTAAAAACATCTCTAGTCGTTGCTAAATAGATTGATCAAATTGATCCCCTTCCAACCTGGCTGAGAACCACCGGTCTAGAGCAGTATTTTCCAGACTTTGGTCCTCACCTGCTGATGCTTTGTGAACTCACTTTAGTGGGTCGGTAACAGCACTTTAAAAAATGAAATAGAATAAAAGAGAATAGAAAGTATTCAAGTTCATATAAGGGGAAATAGAAATTTAAGTTTCAGTTTTATGCACAGAAATACACATATGCATATTCTGGATTAAGATGTAACATGCTTTTCTTACTGGGGGGCTGTGGTCAAAAAGTTTGAAAGTTACTGTTCCAGAGTCATTCTAAATTTTATCACACTCATTTTTTTTCCATAAAGATGTTTTTATTGCTATAAATGACAAGTCATGACAAGTTATATGGTGACTGTAAATAAATGCATGTAGCAAGGAGAATAAGACTGTATAAAGTATATATACATATGTATTATTACGTCTTGATTATTTTTGTGCATACTGCTATTCACAGTTCACACAGATGCTGTATGGCTTCCTTAGTAGTGATAAAGTATTTAAAATACCCAACTATCAAATCAATTTGGCGCTTCCTTAAAAAGCTAGAAATAGAAGTACCATACGATCCAGCAATCCCGCTCCTTGGAATATATCCTAGAGAAATAAGAGCCGTCACGCGAGTAGATATATGCACATCCATGTTCATTGCAGCACTGTTCACGATAGCAAAAAGATGGAAACAACCTAGGTGTTCATCAACAGATGAATGGATAAACCAATTATGGTACAGTCACACAGTGGAATACTATGCAATGATAAAGAACAATGATGAATCCGTGAATCATCTTATAACATGGAGGAATTATGCTGAGTGAATTTAGCCAGTCACAGAAGGACAAATATTGTATAAGACCACTATTATAAGAATTCAAGAAAAGGTTTAAACACAGAAGAAGACATTGTTTATTGGTTACGATGGTGGGGAGGGAGGGTGAGGGTTATTCACTAATTAGATAGTAGACAAGAATTATCTTAGGTGAAGGGAAGGACAGCACACATTACAGGGGAAGTCAGCACAACTGGACTAAACCAAAGCTAAGAAGTTTCCTGAATACAAACACTTTGAGAAACAGAGTAACAGGGGTAGGGGTCTGGGAACCATGCTTTCAGGGGACATCTAGGTCAACTGGCATAACAAAGTTTATTAAGAAAATGTTCTGCATCCCTCTTTGGTGAGTGGCTTCTGGGGTCTTAAAAGCTAGTGAGCAGCCATCTAAATGCATCAATTGGTCCCAACCCACCTAGAGTAAAGGAGAATGAAAAACACCAAAGACATAAGGAAAGTATTAGCCCAAGAGACAGAAAGGGCCACATAAACCGGAGACTTCATCAGCCTGAGACCAGAAGAACTAGATGGTGCCCAGCTTCCACCAATGACTGCCCTGACAGGGAACACAACAGAGAGTCCCTGATGGAGTAGGAGAAAAGTGGGGTGTAGAACTCAAATTCTAGTAAAAAGACCAGACTTAATGGTCTGACTGAGACTGGAGGAACCCCAGAAGTCACAGCCCCTGGACTGTCTGTCAACCCAGAACTAAAACAGTTCCCGAGGCTAACTCTTCAGACAAAGATTAGATTGGACTATGGGACATAAAGTGATACTCGTGAAGAATATGCTTCTTGGCTCAAGTAGGTACATGAGACTAAATGGGCAGTTCCTGTCTGGAGGTGAGATAAGAAGGCAAAGGGGGTCAGGAGCTGTTTGAATGGACACAGGAAATCCAGGGTGAAAAGGAGGAGTGTGCTGTCACAGTATAGGGAGAGCAATTAGTGTCACATAACTATGTATAAATTTTTGTATGACAGACTAATGAGTTGTAAACTTTCACTTAAAGTACAACAAAAAAATACTCAACTATCCAAAAATATTATGGATAGACACAATATTATTAAACAATAATATTTTGCATTTATATGTTATTTTTCATTTGAGACTCTCACTGCATTTGATTCATTTATTTCCTTGCTGTATGATTCCCAGTTAATGTCGGGGAAGACTGAGGCACAGACAAATGTTCACATGACATAATATAATAAAGTTAGGGAATTAACTAGGTCTCTGGTTTCCTTTACAATACCTTAATCATTTTAACTATATTTGTTTTTATGCTACCTCTTGGAAGTAGGGGCTGGTGTTTTTTGGTGGCTGTGTATCTGTTGGAGCCCTGGTGGCATGGTGGTTAAGAGCTTGGCTGCTAACCAAAAGATCGACAGTTCGAATCCACCAGCCACTCCTTGGATACCCTGTGGGGCAGTTCTACTCTGTCCGATAGGATCACTATGAGTCAGAAGCCACTCGACGGCAATGGGTTTGGTTTTTGGTTTGTGTATCTGTTGGAGCCAGGCAGGCTGCGGGCACACCATCAGTGGGCAGCGGCAGGCGGCAGGGAATGCCACATTGCATTAGCTCTGTCCCCCAAAGAAACGCCTTCGTTACAGATTCATATTTTTAATGCTGTGTTTTTGGCTGCTATCTAAGGTTGTATAAGAAAAAGAACATATTTTCATCTTTTCTCAGAATCTAGTTACAATAAAATTTAAAATATGTCGTGGGTTAACCAGGGCCACATTCTGACATTTGTGGGCCCTAAGCACTTTTTGCTTCATGGGCTCCATCCTCCATAAAAAGCATTGTAATGAGATTTTACTACTGCATTGGCATAAAAATGGATGTAATCCAAGCTGGATTACATTAATTCCATTTTTCTGATTAAAAAAATCTAAAACATGTTTGCAAGTCTCAAAGTGTTGCGCTCCTTAGGCACTATGCCTGTGGTGCCTAATAAAGAAGTCAGCTGTGGGGATAATGTGAGGAAATAATAACTGGTAGTCTTTCCCTTCATCCCTACGCTCATGGCAAGGTATTAGTTACCAGTTGCCGTGAAGTCGATTCCAACTCATGGCCACCCCATGTGTGTCAGAGTAGAACTGTACTCCATGGAATTTTCAGTGGCTGATTTTTCAGAAGTAGATCACCAAGTCTTTCTTCTGAGGCATCTCTGGGTGGGGGGGGCCTCAAACTTCCAACCTTTTGGTTAGCAGCCAAGCGTGTTAACCTTTTGTACTACCCAGGGACTTCTATTATTCCTAACCACCTTACTAGTCAAGAGATTTGGAACATTTTTTCCTCATCCAACCACATTTTTTAAAGCATTTTTTTCCCCTAGCTTATATTTAGTTGTCAGCTTCCCTTACGCCCCCTTTAGAAGTCAGAAGCACAGGTTATAAATCAATGTGAGCAAATACGTTCCTATCCCACTTGTATGGGGAAAAAAATTGTAATTAAAATTCATGGTAGAAAGAACTTCTAAGTGGTTGACTGCCTTTCTGAGATGTTATCATGTTTTATTTTAGAATGTACTTTCAGGAACTGTTCTACATTATTAAGTAAGATTCATCTCATTGGAGTAACTGAATAAGTTACTGTGTTGGAAAAGTCTTGTTTGGGGTCTATTATTAGTTTTGTCACTTGAACTAATTGGTTTTAGGAAGAAGTCTCATCATTATTTGAAAAAAAGAGATGGAAAATACTTGATATGTCATGAGTCTAGTTGATTTACAATTAAAATGATGTCAAAATTATAGTAACTTTTCACTGAGTAACTTAGAAAATTTAAGCGCAATAAACGTAAATAAGATTCATCCCTCACTGGACTCTAATTTTTTTCTTAAGGCACCATGACAGAGAAGCTTTTCCCAAAGATTATGATATAGAAGGTCCTGAGACTGTAAAAAAACTGTGTAATTCAACATACCGGCGACTTGGAACTGATGAACCCCCAGTAAGTAGTGGCTGCTAATTTATTTATTTTAAGTCAGGAATCTTCATCATAGTGAAGCATGGAAAAATGAAGGGAGGAACACCTTGTCGGTGCCCCGTTATTAGCTATGTTAGTGATTTAGACAGGTGACTTAGCCACTGTGTGCTTCAGTGACCTTACCTATAAAATGCACCCACTTCTTACATTTGGTGTGAGAATTCGATAAGATAAATAATATAAAGTGCTCAATAAATATAAATATAACATAGAGTGCCTGCACATAGCAAGTGCTCAAGAAATTGTTACTGTTGTGATGCTGTTGCAGCATTTTGCTAGACATCTCTTCACAATTATCCTATAGAGTTGCTGTTGTTAGTTGCTGTCAAGTTGACTCTGACTCATGGCAACCCCACGTGTGCAGAACAGAACTGCACTCCATAGGGTTTTTCAAGGCTGTGACCTGTCAGAAACAGATTGCCAGACCTTTCTTCTGAGGCACTTCTGGCTGGGTTTGAACCACCAACCTTTTAGCTAGTAGTCAAGTGCTTAACTGTTTGTGCCACTCAGGGACTCTTCTCTGTGGAAAAAAACAAACCCATTGCTGTTGAGTCGATTCCGAAACTCATAGCGATCTTATAGCACAGAGTAGAACAGCCCCATAGGGTTTCCAAGGAGTGCCTGGTGGATTTGAACTGCTGACCTTTTGGTCAGCAGCCAAACTTTTAACCACTACACAACCAGGGTTTCCTTTTCTATGGAGTAGGTATTATTATCTCTATTTTACTGATGAGGATAAAGAAACTCTTAGAGGTTAAGTGCGGTACTTAAAGCCACACGGCTAGGGAGTGGAAAGTTAGGGTATGAACACAGGTCTTTGATTTTAAGTCCTTTGTACTTTTCATAAGCTAGTAGAGTTTGTGTAACACAATTACAAAAGGAATAGTCATTGCCTAAGTAATTTCTGTTTGCATTGTTATGAATAGATTACTGCTTGGTTACTGGGTGCCTGCTCAATCAACTCCCAGAACCCTTAAATTGTGTCCTAAGATGTCAAGAGCTCTGGGACTAGCCAAAGACTCCGTTCAACCTTCTGGGTCTTGGGGATTTTAAGAGCTAGTTATTTGACAAGGCAGGACATGGATGTTTTTCACAACAAAAATATAAAATTGACAAGAAAGATATTCCAGTTATATACCTAGACTCACAGATCTTAAATGACTTACCCGAGGTCCTGGGTATAAAGAGAAGAGAGAGGATACAGGCACAGAGCCTCCGTACTTTCCTGTGTCAGGTGCTATACTGGATGCACCAGGAGGGTAGATGAGCCTCTCCACATTTTGTCACAGTTTTTTGATAGAGGCCTAAAGGCTAGACTACTCTTGATAGATGGCAAAATACATATGTCCTGTAGCAAGACGCTGGGCCATTAGGCAGAACCTGCTAAGAAACTCTAGCTTAGGTCAGTACAAATGGTTTTGCCCTTGAAGGCTAGGGGTTGAAGAGTGGGAGGAGGATTTTTAAAATTTTTTTATTGTTGTAGTTTAAATGAAGTTTACATTTCAAGTTAGTCTCCCATACAAAAATCTATACATACATTGTTAAGTGACCCTAATTGCTCTCCCCATACTGCGACAGCACACTAGGAGGAGGATTTCTTTAGTTGAGTGTTGCCATGTCCCCCCTTACAAAACTGAGAGGACTTTCAAGGGCCCCACTTAGAGACATTAATATGCGAGACCTGGAAGTTGGAGGACACACGGTTCAGGTATATGTCATGACTGAGGAATGGTCAGAGGACAGGCCTGACATGCAGAGCAGGAAGAGAGCGAGAGCATGCTGCACTTGGAGAGGATGGCAGTGGCCAAGGATGTGTCCTTCTGTGAGGTTTCCCGTGGGATGTACGGGAGAGAACCTGTCCAGAGTGCTGCTGAAAGAAGGCTGCCTGGGGTGGGGCTGAGAGGCAAAGAGACCTAGCAGAAGAGACCCACTGGATAACCCAAGGCTGGGGAAGAGGAGTTATAATCAGCCAGAAGGAGAAGACTGACCTGCTTCCAGAAGGTTGTAGTCGGAGGTTCTCAGTAAGGGAATCTCTCAAAACAATGACAAAAGTGCCCCATGCGAGAAGCAGTCAATTTTGAAATTCTTCTAAGCCCAGAGGTGCTAACGTGGGTCAAGAGAGTAAGGGCCAGTTGACACTATATCTTTTCCCCTAATTACTCCTCATCATCCAGGCTTGGAAAGCGTCAGTGAGTAGGGGAGGAGAGAGAGAGGCAGGAAGGGAAACAGCAGCTGACCAAGGCCCCATCCCACTGCAGACTTCCAGGCCTAAAGCAGCACTGAGCTGGGAAGGTGAGAAGCTTTAAATCTAATACAGGTTGAAGTTTTGGTAATTTCACTATGCTGGAAAATTTCAAAATGAAAACGAGATTCTTCTTGGGATTCAGAAGGACCAGAAAAGCTGTGAGACTTGCCTAAGATGTCCATCAACCAGAAGGAAAGAACAAGCCCTCAGTGTGGGATAGAAGGGACTGCTGGATTCAAATAAAGTTGCTTCATGATTACATCCTCTTGGGCACAGCTTATTCCATAAAACAGTTACATGAACGGTGGACAACTCTTCAGGCAGGTACTCTACATGACCTGCATTGTATAGATGAGGAAACTGAGGCTGAATGAAGCTTAGTAACTTGCTCAAGATCCAACAGAGAGTATACTAAAAATTAAAATCTTTTTAAAAAATATATATTAATTTTTCTCCTTGGGCTCTAAAGTCTGCACTCTTAAATACTGCTCCAAACTGCTGCTTGGAGAGGCCAGCTGTCTCACTCCTAGGCCAGTGGCCTTTTTACCTTCATGCTGCATGCTTCTTGCAGAAAGTGAACCCAATTTTTTTTTGGCCCTGGCTTGGGTATTGTATATACCTCACTGCATATGTGTTGGGGCTTTGATTTCTCAAACGTCTTAGCTATAACTTCTGTCCTGTTTCCTGAATTATATCCACACATGTGCTGGCTAGCCCTATCCCCATCTATTTCACCTCCTGACTGCCTTCTTAGCATTTTTGGTTTTTTGCAAGATTGCTGCTGAGTGGTTGGTTTTTTACATCCACAAGCATTTCTATTTAGCTGATTGAAGGTCTCCTTGCCCTTAAATGCTGCCGCTGGGGCTGATGTGAGCATCATTTATTTGTAACAAGATTTGAAATGGGACTCTCTTTATCTGTGTCTTGGAGGATGCTCCAAAAGGCCAAGAATGAAATAACTGTCCCACATTCTATTGAGACTAGAAGTGAAGTATTAGGCCACTTATGCAAGACCCTTAAAGACGAGGGTGCCCTTAGGACCCCATTCACATTAAGGATTGAAATACAAGAAGCCAAAAGAGGAGATTAAGATTAGAGAGAAGATTTTTGGAAAGTTATTGCTTTGTTGTAAGTCTCATCTGCAAACCCCCTTGGGTGCCTGGTGAAGTTACAGATATGAGACTACGGTGATCTGTCTGAAGCAGCAGAGCAGAAAGAGGGAGCTAGCTACACTATCGTCAGTTGTGGAGCAATGGTGTGTGAGTGCTCAGGCCCAGATGTGGCTCTTGTGGATCAGATGTGGGCCATCTGGAAGAGAGAGATGACATGGAGCCATTTCAGAGCCTGCCCCAAGAACACCTTGTGTAGTAATGAGAGGAGGATCTGCTAGAATCCCAGGGGCTGAGATAGAAAATTTAAGTCAAACTGGAGGAATCCTGCCTCCTGGAATATGCCATTCAATGTTGAACCTCAAAGTCTACCAGAACTCCTCAAGAACATCAGGTTTGAATGTCCTTCAATGTCAGACAGAGTCAGAGATAGACATGCCTGGAGGAAACCAACACAAGATGACACTTCTGCCCTTACCTCTGTCATTTCTCATATCTCCACACTCCCAGCTTCAACCCCCAAGGAGCCAGAGGAAGTTGGGGGAGCAAGGAAGAAGTTCAAGTGGGTCAACTGAGAAGAAGCCAACTGGGCCCCCTTTTCCCACCATAATAGGCCATACCAAGCCAGGCCTAAGTTGGAGACATGAGAATCTTTATGTGAAGTTTAAAGCCTTAACGATGACATGGGACTCTTCTTGGGATAGAAATAACCGGAAGATTTTTATATTATCTGAGAATGATTGGAAAAGTCATGGGACCTGTCCGTTCTATATTTTATCAAGGGGCATGGGAAAGACCTAGCCCCTCCAAGTAAGTATGAATGGGCATTGATGAGGGAAGAATAGATTTGTTTTTGGTTGTACCTACCTACAAGTTCCACTTGTTCAATAAGCCAGTTACCCATTTATAAAAGAACAGCCCACTCTTATCATCCCTCTCTAACCCCTTCCTTACTTTAGTTTTCTTCATCGCACTTATACCATTGGGCATATTTTATACTCATTTCATTGTTTATTTTGTCTGTCTCTCCCTCTTAGAATATAAGTTCCATGAGAAAAGGAAGTAGGCCATGCTGTATCCCTAGTGCCTGGTACATAGTGGGTGCTCAAATATTTGTTGAATGAATGAATTAAGGATCACATTCAACAAACATTTATTGAGGCCCTAATTTTTTGGGGGGGTCAGGCGTTATGCTAAGTGCTGGGGTAACACATAATTTAAAACAAAATCTCTGTACGTAAGGAACTCACAGGCTTGTGGTGGAAATGGTGAAGGAAAACCACATTGGCAAAGTGTATGATGGATACTGTGATAGGAGAAAGATGAAGATGCTCTGAGGGGCATCTTAATAATGGCTGCCTAACAGAGGTGACCCCGTTGAGGCCCCTAAGCTGAATTTTCAAGGAACCATCTACTGGCAGAATCTGGAAACATACCATGCAGCTATAATTGGTTTCCTGCTCCAGTGGTTCCTCAGGCTTCAGGAGGCCACTCCACGGAGGATGTAGATTCACAGAGGAACAAGCACTGGGGTATCTCTGATTGTCTTATTATCTAAGTGATTATAGGCAATAGCATTTTAGACTACAGTATTTTGTTTGGGTATTTGG